GAAAAATGGTATTTTCACACCCTTTTTATTTCTTTGCAAAAAAAAAAACTCATTCATGTCCCAAATTTTTTTTTTTTATAAAAAACCATCACATCTTAATTCAACATGGAATGACACGCGTTTATCTTACCTTCCTCTTTCATACTTTGAATGAGCTTATTCGCAAAGAAACTAAAAGGGAGAGAACATACCTTACCAACGATACCTCATAAGTCTAAATTGGTAAGGTTTTGGCTGAGTTATTCAAGTTTTTCTTAAACCAGTCTTTGAAAAAAGGTCAAAAATAGCATCAAAAATCTCATTATTATGATTCCGTAGACAAATTTTTTTAAATTTTTTTATGCAAATTTTTAAGCTTAAACTGTTTAGTAATCTGAGGTATATTTAAAAAAAAATCTAAAAAAAACTTTTTATTAATAAAAAACTCAATTTTGGGAGGTATTTTCAAATCGGTCCAGTTCACGTAAATCTTAATATTTTTGCGAGGTATTTTGGTGGAAGTTTTAAAATGTAATAGATTTTATAATTCCAGTGGAAAACAGTACCAATTTTTTTTTTTTTGATGGGGAGTGATGCAGTCTGCTGTACATAAGTTGACTATGATTACTGGGCCGTGCTATCAGAGTAGCACAATGCCACTAAGTGCATTTTAAAAAATTTCAGGCAATAGCCTCATGCGATTATCGATTATATTTTTTGTTGTTTGTGTGAAATATTTTATTTTTATCGGTATTTTTCTTTTAATCAAAACATATTGAAATAAAAGTGAAAAATAAAAAATATTATTTTACGCATGGACCACGTATTATGTGCTACATATTCACGGGTTGGCCGCCAACCGATTTATTACTTTAGGCAGCAGATGCGCTAGCAAAAAAATTGTGCGATGTAGCGAAAACCAACGGTTAAGCTAATTTTTCAAAAAAAAATCCAAAAGTATTTTTTGTACATTTTTGATTTTTATTAATTTTTTCTCTTCAAATACAACATTTCTTAAACGATATTTCGCATTTTTTTCGTTTTTGTTTTTAATTGTTTATTTTTGTTAATGCAGTATAATTTCATATATTTATATATAATTTTTATTTTTTATTTTTATGCTAAATGGGCTGCATCTTCAGCTCATTTAAATATGTTTCAATTTATTTTTAAGATTATTATTATTTTACTGCGAAAAGTTTTCTCTTGTTTACATTGCGCTTATAAATTTTATAACATTTGCGAAAATTCTAAATCTTTTTTACATTATTTTAAATTAGAATATTAAATGTAAACACATATTTATATAGTAGCATAGAAATAAAGTCTTATTACATAGAATTATAATAAATATATGTATTTATATTCAATACGCGTTCTTAGTGAAATTAAATTATATACTTATTTCAATTCTACTCATATACATACATTGTTACATACAGTTTAGCTTTAGGAGGTACATTTAAAAAAATAAGAGCGGAGGTACTCTAGCTTGAGGGTCTGGAAACTTTTACTAACTAACCAAAGAAGAGCTGAAGCAAATTTCTTAACCAAATGAGTTGTTATTCATGAAGATATGTAATAATATGAGTGAGAAGTAGGTTCATATAATATTTATGTACATACATACAGACATACATATGCATGTACATACGTAAATATTTCGCGTTTGTAAATCTTCTATGCAAATATTAAATCTTTATGCAGAAATAAATTTTATATAACTTTCTGATCAAAATTCCGATACCCAAACCTTGTAAAAAGAAACATTCTCATTTATTAGAATACTTTCGCAACTCAAAAACGGAATTTTACTCTTAAAACAAGGAAAATATACAGCCTCATCGCCAATTCCATGCGAATAAATAGTATGAAAAGCGAAAATTGTATGAAAAGCGCATTGCTTGTGCCTCAAAAAGCGTCGAGGCAAATTAGTCGCGAAAATAGCCTGAAAAAGTCGTTCGCAAGTTTCGTGTTGCCGTTTTGGTCAATAAATGTTTTTATCAAGTTCTAGGCACGAGGATACCGAACATTTCAGGCAATGAAAGCAAAAACATGTATCAACAATAGTTATCGAAATCGACGCCGGTGATGCCAATTCGGCACCAAAATAAGGGTGAATAATTTTGCCATTATTGCGTGTCTGATGTTTTGTAATTTGCATCACATATTACGAAATCTCGGACGGAGCGACCAAGGTCGTCGAGAAATGTGGAAACGGTGCAAGTGTCTTTAAATGTTCCTTAAAGTTCCTTATAATGCATTATGTGTAAAGATTTGTTGTGTCTCTCCACAAGTACAAGTTACAGTTGATTAAAAAATTGATGCCCACTGACGCCGCTGAGCGTCTTGGAGACTACTCAAATTCATTTTGCTTTGCGAAACACATTTAGACAATGCTATTCTACAGAAATAAATTTTCAAGAACTGTACTTGCAATAGAGTAAATATTGTTTCATTCGAAAAAGCTTTTGGGACTACTTGTACTTGTCTTTTTGTAATTACCTAACTATGCATAATGAACCTACTAAGGCAAGCGAATAGCAAATTATGAAAACAAGTTAATGTGAAAAGTATAGCAAAACCAGAGTCCAAAACTGGTAATCTGCCTATTTTTTGCATAGTGGTCAATTTTTTTTTTTTTAATGCTGCGAGGCCAATCGCAAGGAATGTAAAACTTAATTTTCGGGTTTTGGAGTCGCCGCCGCCATCTTGAAAACAAGAGTGGTAAACTTTTCAAAAGTCTGTCAAACTCAAGAATTTCCAAAAGAGATTGCAGGAGTAGTTACACCTTGCATGTAAAATGGCTTTCGAAAGCAGTTTTTATTTATGAAAATCAAACTTTCCGATACTACTTTTTGTCTGTTTACACGGTGAATGCAGACACGGCCACTTTCAACTATGTTACCAGACATTTTTATGCTTATAACAAAATGAATGACCTGAAAAATTTACTAAACTTGCTAAAATGTCCACAAAACAGTCACAAAATGTCTAATACATTAATACTTGAATACTTGAATGAAATATGCGATTTGACCCCGTTTATCTCAAAATCTCGAGCTTATGGAAACTTTATACTTATGGGGTCGTAATCAGTACAAAAAAGTATATCAAAAACAGCTTTAACATTTGCCGCACCAAAATCAGTGCCGCCCGGTGTTATTGTAACGAAACAAACTAGCTCTTATAATATTCGAAATTTCCTCTTCCCTATTTTTTGGCCGACATTTTTTCGCGAGTAATTTAAATTTTCTAGGATTTGCTCTCGGGAGAAATTTTATCCGCTAGGAGAAAAATTCCAGTAATATTCAGAATTAAGATAGTTGGATTCTAGATTCAAACGATATTGCATTCTCTTTAGATATTTAGTAAATCTGAGGCCGCAAATAAATGTGAAACAAAATGAAGTGACAATCGTAGTACGTTCCCACGACACGATTTATATCACTCCAGCACCATTCCAAAAAACTCTGGGGAAGTTGCATGCTGTTACAACAACAACGGCAATCGAAATATGTATGTATGTAATATTGTATAGTCTTGATTAATATCGCAATAATTGGTATAATCAGTACAAATTACCACAAAACAGCGTTCGATAACTACAAAAAATTGCCAAAAATCAAAAATTTAAAGGGCAAAGTATAACCCATCACGATCTGGAGCCTATTTTATAAAAGTGACTGCTGCGACAATTGTCGATTTTTCTATAAAACATTCTTCCTGTTTCATACACGTTTGTAGGCAACTGTGAACATTTTTGGAAAACCATTGTGATAATATTGTCGACAATTGTGCTGACAATTGTCACTCTAACAAAATTGTCGCGACAATGGAAACAAAATCAAATAGCTCCGGCGGAAAGCTTTCACTGGAGAGTTTTGTAAATTTATTTATATGGTAATTGCGCGCATTTCAATACTTTTCAATGATTTGAATAGTTCTTAAAACTAAAATAATGCAAATGCAATATTGCATATGATTTACATATAAATTTCATATGACTGGCGACAATTTTGTCAACGAAATCATATGATTGTACTTTTTGTAAACAAAATAGAATTTTATGAAATTTGGATTTTAAATACACTGGCGATCAAAACTAAGTGAATGTTTTTTTATTTAATATATATTTTTTTAATATTTTTTTATTTAAAATGCTTTGTTATTTTTTTATAAAAATATTGTTCATGCTTTAACCAAAATTCTCACTTTCCTGGTTGGTGTTTCCGACAGGGCAGGGGTATGATGCATTGTGGAATGATTTCCCGGTTTCGGCGTTGTGTCGGTTGTCTCCGAACCAAACCAGAGATGACGGAAACTAAAATTTCATGACGCAAAAATTTTACAACAATTCAGATGAAAAATTCTGAATTTTTCTATATTTCATATAAAGTTTAAAACTTTAATTTATATGGCTTTAGTTACAGTATGAACAATATTTTTATAAAACAAAATAACAAAAGAACTTTAACTTGAAAAACATTGTTAATATAACAAAAAAAAACACCACCTGTCACGAAAACGGCTTCCCTTTAAAACTATTTGACGTTTAGAGGCGGCTTAAAACGGCGGCCTCATTTCATTTCTAATTATTTACAAATCATAAACAAAATTAACAACTTATTGCAAAATTTCAGTTTGTCAATTTTTTGGGTTTCTACGCATTTGGCAAGGACTTTTCTTATGCACTTGTTGTTGTAACAGCATATAAATTCATATGCTCTTGCTTTTGATTGCTGGCTAATTTTGCATTTGCGAATTTAGACTTTTCACAACGTTTTTAGTATTTATTTCATTCAAATGAAACGTTTTACGCAAATGTTGGAAAATATTTTGATCTAGCTGTATGCATCTGTATATATAATATATAGTATGTATCTGTATATATAAGGGTATTTTTATTCATACTTTGAAACTAAATAATTTGTGTCAGTGTATATGTATACGCAAATTTGTTTTTTTTTATATACATACCTAGGTTCACAATTAATTTGTTTGCTTGCTTATTTGTTTCTTTTTTTTTTTTTTTAATTAGATATTTCTTTAGTTTACTGAACTCATCCGCATTTTACATTACTTTACAATAGTGCAGCACCTTGTGGCTGTTCACTTCCTTTTCTACCGTTCGCTTCTTCGTTACCTTAACTTATTATGTTGTGTGCGAGTTTGTCGTTTAAGTTTTCTTTTCTTCCACTTCATTTGTATCGTGCCTCTTATTTTAGCTTTTATTTAAATTTTGAGTGCAATAACATACAATGCCCCAGTCGCAATTAAATTTGTCAGGGGATTTGGCCTGGGCTTCTGCTTAGATTCATCGCTGTGAGTCGAAGCCCGCAAACCTTATTTTTGGTTTAACTTGCATTTGTTCCTCAAAAAGGCATGCTAAAATAAAGGCCCTGATCGGGGGCCACTCGCAAACTCTATAAGAATCTGGGCGGTCCGGAATTGTAGGTCCCAGGAGGGGGATGTGGTGCTGGCGAATGTTGACCTTGACGCAACATGTCAAATGGTGAATTCGAGCGCTGCATAAAGTGGTGATAGTTGCTAGGTGGTAGTGGGTGCTGAAAACCAACAAAATTTATTATCAAATAACAGAAAATGTTCATAAAATAAAGAATAATAAATGAGAACTAGGTTTAACTAGGTAAATGAGTAAAACCCAGTTCGAATTAAATTACATGAAATTCGTTGTTGGAAAAAATATAGCAATTTTTTAAGCAAACAGAAAAACAATAATATAAAAAAAAAATTAGAGGGTCTTCCCATTGAGCTTGGTACTTCAGCAGCTTTCTCCGTGAATTTTTTTATGGAATTATATTTTTAGTGGTCTATCCGACAACCAAATTATTGCAAAGTCAAGCTTAATAACTTTTTTGGCTGTCGGTAAACTGCAATCAGCTGTTCGATATCTATAGCGAAGCGTATGAAGTACGTATAAGAATACGATGTGTTTATTTATTTTTCATCTAAGTTTGTTGCTTCTGTATTTTAAGAAAAATTAAAATAAGATAAATAAAAGTTTTTGCCAATTTTTCCGAAACAACAGTTAAAATTTTACCTGCCGTTTAAAAAATTGCACTGCCCAAACGCATTTTCTAAAAATTAAATTTGTTTCTCTTTCGTTTTATATAAACTGACGGTCAAAAGTGGATGAATGGTGTTTTGTTTTCAATATTTACAGTGTTAAAAAGCAATTTTTTTTTTTTTTTTTTATAAGAATGTGGTTCATGCTTCAACCAAAACCATCAAAATCAAACTTTATACAGAATTAATAAAAACCCCACACATTATTATCAAAATTTTGAGCTTTCTAATCAGAATTCTTATAAAATTGTTGGGTATGCAGTTACAATGCTTTTGAAATTAAAAAAAAAAAAATCGCATTGATATTTAAAATTTTTCTTTTGCTGGCGGCTTTTGCATTTTTTTTCATGTAACAAGGGCAGTTTATAACAACTGACGTTGATTTTTTTTTAATTTTTTTCGCAAACGGTCTTGGGCATTTTCTTCCACAAGTAATTCATGTTTATATGCTAAAATGTGTGAAAAACGCCACACAAGTTTAGTGAACAGTGCAGCTGGAGTTGACTGATAAAAGTCATAGGGAATTTTTAAAGAGTGGCCGAAGCGCATCTACTCAAAAGCAGTTCTGCACAAAAATTAGCAAAGTGAGAACAGATTTCAGCTACAAGAACTCGCGCACAGGGACCAGGCGGTATATCGTCGCTACCATGCTAAAGTCTGGCTTTAAAAAAGTGTCCCCGGATCCCACACTTTCCTAATGACAACAACATTTTTTGCAACAGTTTCTTTGCTCACCTGAAAAGTACCGATTTTCACATTCGATAGTTTGACATGGTAGCGGCGATATGTACAAACAGCTTATCAAACGGTTGGAAAATTCGCGAAGTTTTTAATGAAATCATTTGTAAACTCAAAGCTGAAGCTTTTCATTCATTTAATTAGATATATGGTGCAAATTTGAATGTACTATTACCTGCAAACCACGCAATCCCAGAGGTCCAGCAGCGCCAGGTGCTCCTCCTCCCATTATATGACTCGGCCCATCTCCCAAATCTAGTTGCAGACTTTCGTGTAGGTCCCCGTTGTTGCCGTTATTGGTGTTGTTCGCCAAATGCAACTGGCCTAACGATGCCGTTGCCATCGCTACATCGGGCATCATATCCGACAAATGTCCACCGTTACCCCCCTCGCCACAAGCAACCGCTCCCCCACCCCCCTCGGCACCAACATCGATCCCCAGCGCACTGCCATGCGGAAAGCGATAGTCACCTTCTGTGATCAGTGCGGGTAAATCGCTACGATGATGTACTGAAGCTGAAAGACGCGCGTAATTTGCTTGTAGAGCACCACCGCCGCCATTAGCCACATTTGTTGGCATGCCTCCTCCAACGCTGCTGCCCAAACCCAATAAACCGCCTGGATGTTGTCGGGGGAAAGTTAAATTTCGGCTATAGCATGGTTGTATACCTTCGCCTCCACAGGTAGATGAAGCAGCCGACGATCCCATCGATGTCGAGAGAAAGCCGCCAGTCGTAGTTAGTCGTGGCACAGAGCATGCAGCGGCGGGAGAAGGAGGAGGCGTTTGGTCATCGTCTTCGATGAGATCGGGATCAGTTTGAGTGGTGGAAGTGATGCCAATGTCGTCAGCTATAGTAGTTGCGACGGATGCGGACGCAGCTGCCGCATTCTGATTGCTTAACAGTGATGTCTCTAGCAGGTCTGACACCGCATCCGGTAAATTGAATTCGCGCACTACACGGAGACGTATCTGTCGATCAATTTCATGTTTTGATGAAAGCGGCAGCAGCAAAGCACGTTGGCACATGGGCGACTGGTGCAATTTGTGCTCGCGTTTGAGCAAAGCTGCTAACGTTTGTGTGTCAGGCGGCGGTATGGCGGCAGCTGCGGCCAAAATATTTACGCTTTCTTTCCCAGTTACAGCCGCCGCAGTGGATACACTAGGTTTTGCCGCTGCGTTTATGCGAGATACCATGTACAAAGTGTCGGGAATGTCGGGCAAGTGGCGTGATCGCCGCATGCGCATCAGCTCCGCTTGATGTTGAGATGACGCCATTCGATCTTCAAGCAATACCTTTACTTCTTCAAAGTACGGCATGAAAAGCCGCGGCCGAACAAACAGGCCTTGGTTCTTTCCCCCACGTATCCAAGCGTTGACTCGCAAATTTTCCCGGTCGTCACCGATCATATGAGAAGGTGGCGTACTCACAAGCCCCCGACGAATAGCTTGTGCGAGCACTTCACTATTGGGCGGCAAAACGTGATCCATACGAACTAATGGCAGCAACTCGGAGAGAATCTCCCGTAACTCAACGTCACTTAGGTCGCGCTTTTTCACGCCTTTTCTCGTCACTGAATGCGCTGTGTGTGACAAAATATTTGGTTCACGATCTTCCATACGCCTTATAAGTTCTTGTTCTCCCCATTTAAGCACAGCCTGCAGCACCTCCAACTCTGATGCTTGCAAAAAATTACTCTGCAGTACGTGTATCAGCTGGGACTTGTCCAGTTGATGTAGCACCGGTGAAGCGATTACTGCAGAAAACTCCTCCCGAAGGTACTGGCACGCTTGCCGATACACCCAAGCGGAACCGTGTGGCTGCAAATTGAAAATTATTACAAACACTTAGTAGACCTGATTCACAATATAGAAATAGAACTTCTACGGTCACTTCTTGTTTTTTTGAATTGTTATTATGTAGCTATGTTTAAAGGAGATACATATGTCAGACAAGAAGCTTTACAATGTCCTTCCCGTTTTCCACAAAACATATACACAATAAGGTCCAGTTTTTCAGTGCCAGTTTAAACTTAGATTACGTAAACTGCGTTTATCTAGCCCATCTGGCTGACATTTGATTGGCTAATCTTATTTAAACCAACTAAACTAAGTTTAAAATCAGAGTGGAGTTTTTCAATCAAATTTAAACGTAGTTTTAACTAAATTTAAACGCCCAATCTGGCTGGGTTAAACCAAGTTTAAACTATCAGCTGTTAAGTTGTATATTTGTAATCAGCTGCCAAAATTTAGAAAGAGGATGGTAAAATTAAAATTGTTTCCGAAATTTGGAGTTTACTGCACGTCTATACCTGCTATGGGCGCTCACATACGAAACATTGTAGGAGATAAGTCCGTAGACCTTCTAAAATATTGCAAAAAAACACTATTTGTTGGCACTTTGACCTCGTTTTTCTCAAAATCTGGAGCTGATGGAAACTTTATGCTTACGGATTCGTAATCAGCACAAAAAAGGCTATCAAAAACAGCTTTAACTTTTGCCGCAACAAAATGACTGTTGCCTTGTGTATTCTTTCAGTATTTGAAACGCGATCGTGTCAAATGTGAAAATGAATAGCTGAAGCTTTGTATCTGCATAAAGAAAAAACAATGTTGCCCTACAAAACAACTAAGCTATGAAGCGGCCTTAAACTCGCACTGAAAAACTGGTCAGTAGTTTAAACTTATCAGCACCGACAAACTGGCCCTAATTATCTTTTATTCTTAATCTCAGTCTTAATCTTAATCTCAAATTTAAGCTTAACCTTAGTCTCAGTTTTTGTCTTCATCTCAAAGCATAAACAGACGGCAGCGTTGATCCGGATCAACTCGGAAATTAACTTCAGTTGGTCCGGATTAAGTCCGAGTTAATCCGGATCAACGCTACCGTATGTTTAAGCTTTTAACCGTATTCTTAATATTAATATGAATTTTAACCTCAATATTTACTCTAATCTTTAAGTTAAACTTAATCTTAATCTTCTTAATTCAAATTTTGAACTCAACCTAAAAAATCATTTTCAATATTTATATAGACGGTAAGAGAGAGAGACGGAGATGAAAGAGAGAGCCCTAATGCACCATGTATCACATTTTTTTTCACTTGAGAAATCTAAATTAGCTGCTATCTTAAACTATTTTATTCAAAATAAGTTTGCGCACCTGAGATCCCCACTTAAGCACCGTCGGTAGTGTATCCAACGTTAACCACTCAAGTATCAGATCCTCGCAACCTTGCGCTAGAATGTCTAATTCGAGAAACCTTCCAATCTGATACAGTTCCATAGCCTCCTCTAAGGGCGTGGGTCGCGCACGTCCCGTATTCGTCAAAGCGTGCACCTCGCCCAGTGATCCCGCCGAATTTCCCGACCCTGCGCCACGTAATATTAACGTCAGATCGACTGTGTCCAGGTAAATGGCATGCAATAGCACTCGCGCATATCGTTTTGGTATCACTGTCTCATCAAGTACGATTCGAGTGGGCACATGCAATGCTCGCTCTGTGTACTCGTCAATATTGCGCGTACGACGTGCTATGAGATTCCGAAAGAAGGGCGACCGGGCGCTAAGGATTGCCTTGTGGCAAGGTAATTCGAGTTTCGGTCGAAATCCGTACTCGGAACTTCCTGAATCTGGCCGATGATAATCGGTGCCTTCTGCTGTGAACACCAACGCCGCATCAGCATAATCCCCGGTTTCGAGCAAATACCGCAAGTCATGCTCCAACGGATTCGGCGTGCCAAAGTCATCTCCCAGCTGCCGCAGTAAACTAATATCCATAGAGGGGTCATGTGGACATAGATCACCCGTGTACAGGTAACGCAATAACGATGAGAACAGCTGAACATCTATGGGCGATGTTGGCAATTCTAAACAAATGCGGGCACCGAAACCCGGACAGCCCGCCAGTAAATCTCTGAAATACGAACAGCGCGAAGATAATATCGACCGATGTACCGGAAAAATAGAGCCGCGAAACACAAGATCACAGTCAGTGCAAGTTTTCAAATCGTAAATTGCGGCTAAATCCTGCTTGAATGTTGTTGCAGGAGGACGCGCCAGCTCCGCTTGCACCTATAAAGCATTAAGCAAATATTTATACATAGATTCAGTAATTTTTCCGGGATATTTTTTATTACCGATAGATCTCTTAGAGCGGCCAACGCTTCATATTCCTCACATAACGCTGCTAGCTCGAGCGGGGTCCAGTCGGATACGAAATCGCGAAGTACACGCGCATGATCACAGGCTTTTGAAGAGCGTCGCCGACGTATGAATTTCCGCTTCAGTGTGGCAAAGCCAGTCACTCGCTTTCGACGCTGCTCCCGGAAATGAGGAACACCAGCACCTGCGGCACCCATGACAGAGGAGCTGCTACCTGGACCACCACCACTGCTTCCAGAAACACTGGTTGCTAGTGCAGCTGAAGAAGGCAACAGCAGGCTAGAGCTACCTCCACCTCCACTATTGCTGCTTGAGGCCGCCGGCATTGGGTAACCGCCAGTCGAAGCAGTTGCGCCCATTTTTATCAGCAATCGAGAGGAGTTAGACACACAGGATTACAATCAGGTTTCCATGAAATGAATACTACACAGCTGTTTTGAATATATGAACTTATTTACTCCCTTTTGAGATAATCCAACTTTTGAGGGCAGAATATCGATATACACCTGGATGAAGTTTTCTCAGTACTTAAGATTTCTAGCTGCCTTTGGTTGAATATACTATATGGTGAAATTCTGAAATAATGAAAAGGAGAACATTATTGAAATACGATTTTATTTTTAAAGAACGCTGGAAGTTCTGAGTTTCATCTGGGCACACACATAAGTATGTATATACGTACAAGAAAATACATACTTATATGTACATACATATACACATTTACTCGCACGCCTTAACTTAAAAGCCATATTATTTAAAAGTAATTAAATATTGGCGTTTAAAATTTTTATACAGTATTCCTTAAGCATATATGTATGTACATTAGACTGCATCACTCTCCACACAAAAAAAAATCGGTACTGTGTTTCCATTGGAATTATAAAATCTATTATATTTTAGGACTTCCACCAAAATATTTCGGAAAAATATTAAGATTTACGTGAGTTGGACCGATTTGAAAATACCTCCAAAAATGAAATTTTTTTATGAATAAAAAAGTTTCTTAAAGATTTTTTTGAAAAAAAAAATCCCCTCTAACGACTAAAAGGTTTAAGCTTATAAAATTTGCATAAAAATATTTTTAAAAAATTTGAAAACATTTTCTTTGCTAATAACCTCATTCAAATGATGAAAGACAAAGGTAGGATGAATGAGCGTTATTCCAAGATGTGTTGGTATTTGGAAAAAAATTCGGACGTGAATGAGAAACAGAAATAAAGAGTGGGAATGAGACAACATAAGTCTAAATCGGAGTAGTTTTGGCCTAGTTATTCAAGTTTTTCATAAATCAATCTTTGAAAAAAGTTAAAAAAAAACACCATCAAAAATCTCATTAATACGATTGCGTTGAAAATATTTTTAAATATTTTTCTGCAGATTTGTTAAGCTTAAACTGTTTTGCCATCTGAGGAGATTCTTTTTATTAAAGGTCTGCATCGGAATTCAGTTTGCTTCACTGTGAAGTTTTTTTCAAATATGTAAACTACTCATACTTTAACAAAGAGGGCATGGAAGGAAGAGAAGTGAAAATTTTGAGCACTGTATACATGAAAAAACTACTCAAACAAAATATGTTCCGATAAAAAGAAAAACATAAACAAGCAGTACTATGGTGTTAAACTTCCACAAA